ATTACTCTGAGGTCTGAGGGAGATCATACAGCATGAGCCTGTCACCTTGAAGGCACTCAAACACGGCAGGTGACTCTGATTGTCACGTACTCAGCTCACTGCCCTGTGAATTTAGCCAACTCACCCTGGAGCCTCCCTGGGACCATTTCTACCTCCTGCTCCCACTCCACCCTCAGTGTGGTCAATGCAGCCTCGGCTCCACCCTCAGCCCCAAAACCCAGCTGGGAGCAGAAGCTACCGGATGTGGCCAGCTTGGGTTTTCAGGCTTTTTCAGTACCAGTGACTCAAACCCAGAGTATTTCTCCTCGAAAATGCAGCTGCTCTCTGACGTGTGCCTTGGGGCTGTGCCTGATGGGCATGGAAAGGGCCTGTGGTCTGGGGGCCTGGGTCTGTGTGGGCGCTGGCAGGACCATGGGAAAAAAGAATGAAGAAGGTGGGGTGGGCATGAGGAAAGTGGGGAGAGGTTGTCTTCAGCACCGCGGTGGGGAGGGCTGCCTGCCTGAAACCCAGGAGACTACAGCCTGACACCTGACACCATCGTGTGACCTCAGGCTGGGGACTTAACCCCTCTAAGCCTCAGTTTCCATATCTTGTAAATTAAAATTCCTGCCCTACCCTCTCTCTTTGCTTGCAGGTTGAAATTAACCACGGGAGATAAGAGGATAGAGTAAACATTTAAAATTTTGGTCCTCACTGGTCCTTCTCAAGAAGAGATGGAAGATTTCAGGGAGACATCAGGCATGGTGGCCAGATCACCAAAGTGTCTGTTTTTCCATAAGCCTAGACCTCCAGTTTCCTTCTCCCTTTAATCATGAACAGTATTAATTTGAGAGTTTACTCTGTGCTGTATCTGTCCCATGCATTCCCCCGCTTTTTTTTTTTCTGAGACAGAGTCTTCCTCTGTCACCCAGGCTGGAGTGCAGTGGCCCAATCTCAGCTCACTGCAACCTCTGCCTCCCGGGTTCAAGCGATTCTCCTGCCTCAGCCCCCTGAGTAGCTGTGACTACAGGTGTCTGCCACCATGCCTGGCTAATTTTTGTATTTTTAGTAGAGATGGGGGTTTCACCATATTGGCCAGGCTGGTCTTGAACTCCTGACCTTGTGATCCACCTGCCTCAGCATCCCAAAGTGCTGGGATTACATGCATGAGCCACCACGCCCAGCCGCATTCCCTCTTTTAGGCTCTCCTAACCTCCCAACGAGGTAGATGCAATCGTTTCTTCTCTGTTACTAAAGCTGAGCAAGCCTAAGTGCCGCCCAAGTTCATGCGGCAAATACATGGCAAGCTTGGATTGGAAGTCAGTTCTGTCTGTTTCCAGGGTCTGTCCTCTTAACTCCTACATGAAACCACATTCCAAGGCTCCCTTGTTATTCACCCATGCATCTATCCACCCATGTATTCATCATCCATGTACTTCCCCATGCATGTACCCATTCACCTATAGATCTATCCATTCACACATTTATTCTCCATTTTTATGCATACATACCCCTCCCCACTGTTTATTCTCCGTCACCCACCCGTCCATCTATAAATCTGTCCATCTATCCACTCATCCATCTACCTATCCATTCAACCATTCCTTCATCCATCCACCTACCCATCCACCTATTCAAGCATCCTTTCATCTACTCATCCCTTCATCTGTCCATCCATCCATCTATTCTTCCATTTATTTCTCTCCTACTCCAGGCCAGACAGGGCGGAGGCAAATTCAACTCTATTCTGAGAAGACAAACATATCTTTAATTCACTCCATTGTGGTTAACTCATTGTTAACCACAAAGACCTGAGGCTCTTGTGATGCCTTCTCTCTTAGCCCAGGGTGATAGTCCATCATGCTCATCTCCTTCGGGGGAAAGCAGGGTCCCAGCAGCCCTCTGGGAGAAGATGCTAATGTTGGTGTCCCCACATCCCTCTCTTGTTCCCTGAGAAATCTTGAACACACAGGCAGAAAAGGTCAAGGGGTTCCTTAGTCTCAGTTTTCTCATCTATGGAATGAGGATCACCATATCTACTTCACCCACATTGCCACAATCCCTGGTCCCTCCAATACAAGCTCACTTCCTATCCTTAATAAGTCTTCACCAGGAAAGCCAGGAAAATCTTCCATCTAACTTCAAACTTCCAATTAGTCCTTGTAAGGAGCCTAGCACCTTCCTATGCAGTATCATGTTAAATTATCATGGGTATCTGAGGGTAGGTATTACCATCATTCCCTTCCCATTGCCCCATACTGGTTACTAAGTGTCTCCTGAATGCCAGGCAGTGTTTACCCAGCAAGGATGAAAAGACCTGTATTAATTTTTCCCCTGTACCTTCGAGTCTGTTGTTTATTTAATATATTTTCTTTAAAATGATCCTGCTAGGCCGGGCGCGGTGGCTCAAGCCTGTAATCCCAGCACTTTGGGAGGCAGAGGCGGGTGGATCACGAGGTCAAAAGATCGAGACCATCCTGGTCAACATGGTGAAACCCCGTCTCTACTAAAAATACAAAAAATTAGCTGGGCATGGTGGTGCGTGCCTGTAATCCCAGCTACTCAGGAGGCTGAGGCAGGAGAATTGCCTGAACCCAGGAGGTGGAGGTTGCGGTGAGCCGAGATCGCGCCATTGCACTCCAGCCTGGGTAACATGAGTGAAACTCCGTCTCAAAAAAAAAAAAAAAAAAAAAATGACCCTGCTAAACACAAATAGACACATTTCTTTTGAGAGAAAGTCTTGCTCTTGTACCCTAGGTTGGAGAGCAATGGCACGATCTCATCTCAACGCTGCGACCTCCATGTCCCAGGTTCAAGTGATTTTCCTGCCTCAGCTTCCCGAGTAGCTGAGATTACAGGCACCTGCCACCACACCCAGCTAATTTTTTTTTTTTGAGACGGAGTCTTGCTCTGTTGCCCAGGCTGGAGTGCAATGGCATGCTCTCAGCTCACTGCAACCTCCGCCTTCCATTTTCAAGCAATTCTCCTGCCTCGGCCTCCTAAGTAGCTGGGATTACTGGTGCGCGCCACCATGCCCGGCTAATTTTTGTAATTTTAAGTAGAGACGGGGATTCACCACATTGGTCGGGCTGGTCTTGAGCCTCTGACCTCATGATCCGCCTGCCTCAGCCTCCCAAAGTTCTGGGATTAC